GCTGGTTGCAAGTTTAGCCTTGCTGTACGACAATATAATTGGGGTTCTTCAAGTGATTGATTTTTAGTGAAAAATTCAGCATTCACGTGAATTGATGAAAGAATAAGTTCAGCATACATCACTAACAAAGTTTAGCCTTGCTGTACAACAATATAATAGAGGTTCTTCAAGTGATTGATTTTTAGGGCACGAATTCAGCGTTCACGTGAATTGATAAAAGAATAAGTTCAGCACACATCACTAACAAAGCTATGGAGACAGATCTACTATTTTAATATAGCCTGCAAAGTTTATTCACTAAATACCATATTTTTAATAGAGACGCTGATGCACCATGACAAGCAATGCCACTAGTACTGGATTTTGAACTTCATGTTGAAAAATGAATATTTTACAAGCTTAGCGATATATGCTCATCTTTATTTTTACTGAAATTTGAACATTCCTGGTGGAAAATGAATAATTTATTAGCTTAGAAACTTAATGGGTAGTTTCACAAAAACCAAGGAAAGAAAGAAACACTTGTTTTCATTCATTAACCAACACTTCTACTGCACAAATGTGGTGCAGAAGGTCTATTAGGAACGCTGCGATACAAAGTCTTAGTTTATAATGCTGCAATATGAAGTCGTAGTTTATATGTTATTTTTTCGAATGGACTGCAGGGAAGGACAAAGAGTTGCGGCCAGAAGTTAGCCATTTAGTAGAAAGTACTGAATATGGAACAGATCTTGCTGTGGTTTTGAACGCTTGGTATTCTGCAGGTTTTTACACTGGAAAGTAAGTGATACCGAATCTTTTACTTGTTTCTGTCCCGATAGGAAACTAGAAATTTATTTAGAAAAAACTTAGGATCATTTCAAGATAGTCAAGAGGATAAGAAAATTATAGCTAGAAAAAACAGGAACATAAGCTCCTTACTAGACAAACATTTAGTTAAGCTGTAGGAGTATAACTTGTAAGATCCTTGTTCTACTAGGATTCCACCTATTATTCATTAATCAATTCAAATCAAACTAGGAGTCTCTTAACAATCTTGTGTTTGAGATTGCTTTGGCTACATTTTTTAATTAGTGTGCATGTGGTGATGCTCCTACCTCTATAGTTAATGCTGGAAATTGTAAAACTTAAATAATTGAGAAGCATGAATCTCAAATTTTAAGAACTTGAAAAGCATAGAAAGATGTAGGAAAGCCACCACTACAAAACACACCGTCGTCGTCTAGACCCACCTCCATCCATTCTTGCTACGACAGACTACAAAAAGCTGCCATCCTCTGTAGTTGTATTGCTACTCTAGCATATTCTTACCAAAAAACCTACCTCTAACCACAAGCAAACATAGAAGCTCTTTATGAAAGAAATTTGTATCAGAAACTTTGGTACTGCACCATAAGTGAAAATGGAATTTTTCTTCTATTTTTTTCCAGAAAAATCATCGTGCCTGAGTTGGGGTTTGGCATTGAAGCATACCTCGTCTACTGGTTAAAAAAGGAGGAGGGACTGATGAGATCTTATTAAATATATTATATGAAGTCCTCCCTAGTTTGTAGTCTTACTTTAGCAAGAGTAACTAGAATAATTACTTCCTACTTAAATTAAATTAGTCTAAACTCAATAAAGGGAACTTAAGCATCGTAATGGTGAAACTGGATTCTTGTATAAAGTGAAATTTCTCCCTCTAAAAATTCTATCTCCCCATTTGTCTCTCTAAGTCTTCTCCCCTTTCTATCTTCCTCTTCTTCTCTCCCCCTCATCTCCTCGTCTTCTACAAGTTCGTTCTTTGTTCATTGCATCCTGCATCAGGGCCATACCAACCTTACCTCCAAAATTACAAGGAGAGGAGATAGAGAATTATTTAAAGCTATAAATGCGTGAGTACTGCATCACAAGTGAAAAAAGGTATTTGAGGGCGAAGCCCTTCTCTTTCTAGATCTGATATTAGAGGGCCTGAAAATACTGTTGAAAAACTTGTCGGCTTGATCTAGTGTTTCTGGCCTAGGACTACTCAGAATCTTGGATTTTTTTTCTTCTGATTTTTAATTTTTAGCTCCTCGCTAAAATTTAAATATGTTAAAACCGGTTATAGTCATTTCAATATGGATTTTATCCTGTCCAAACAAAGAGGTTTGGAGTGAATGTGGAAGAGAATGAGGTGTCTTCTTTGGTTGGAGTGAATGTGGTAAGAGCACAAGGCGTTTCTTTAGCAGCTGATTTGAATTGTGAAATCAGGCGATGTCTGTTGAAGTAATTCAAATTTTCTTGGGATTGATTTGATTAGAGTAGATTTTTGGATACCAATATTTCCGAAAGTCATGAAGAGGTTGGATGGGTGAAAATGGGCATTTTGGTTGCAAGGTTGGAAACTGAAACTAGTGCAGTTGTTGATCTCGAGACTGGAGCATTCCAATTGTTGTCTCTTTTTAAAATTTTGAGGGAAGTGGTTGCCTTTCTAGAATAATTATTCAGAGGTTTTTATGTGAAGGAAAAAGACGGACAATGGAACAACGGAGCACCCAGTGCCATGGACTTGAGTTTCAGATCAACTTGTTAAGGAGGTTTGGTCTTTGGATATTGGGAATTTGAAAGAGAAATAGACAAGTGGTTATTGTGATTCCTATTGGAACAAGTATCCTTTGGCATGAACTATTGATGTGGAAATATGGGTTGCATAGCGATCGAGGGGAACAGAAAAGAAGCGAGTACAGTTTCAGGTAACTGTCTTGGGAACATAATTCTCATATTAATTTATTCCTTGTGCAAGATATGAGGTTGGTGAGGAGATCATATTTTGCTACTCGTTTCTCTCTGCTATTTCAGAATACTTCAATTGCAAGAGATTATATTTCCTCATTTTTTCTTCTAATGGATGTAATTTAGTTTTCATCAGAATTTTAATGACGAGTCAGAGGAATTTGTTCTTTTGCTTTACGAATTATTGGGCTCCAAATTCGGGTAGATAGTGATGGTGAGATGGTTTGGGTTCTAAACATTTCCTGTCTTCTTTTTTAACAATTAATTTTCTCTCTCATTCCTATCAAATTTGTCCTCTTCCTCTTAAGTTTACTTGGAAATTGACCATCCTCACTGAAATTAAATTTGTTTTGTTCCATTAGTGGTTCGTGGTAAGTTAAAGGCCGTTGACATGATCCAAAAGAATCCACCATCCTTCCTTTTGCTTTCTTTTTAATGTGTTTTATGTTATATTGATGCTGAATTGATTAATCCTTACTTTATTGCATTGCGAGTTGGCCTCGAGACACTGGAGCCACTCGTTATTGGAAGTTGTCTTGACGTCTCAGTATTGTGGTGGTTTTGTTTCGTCTATAAAAGGCTAAATTTATTTGAAGTTTTCAGTTTTGGCATCTTTTGGGTTTTGTGGCTAGGAAGGAATGATAGCACTTTTTAGGGAGTGGCTATGGACTTTGAGCACGTGTCAGGTAGGATTGTAGGGACTTCCAACTTATAAAGAGTTTCAGTGTGTTACATTTACCTGTTAGTGAACTTGTGTAATGTAGTGTAGTTTTCTGCACTTGTTTCGAGTAAGTACTGGACATCTTGTCCTCTTATTTCATACTTTTTATACTTTTCTGGGAGATGAATCCAAATCTTGTAACCTAATAAGCAAATCTCTGATGAATGCAAAGTAGATATATTTCTCAAGTGAATGCATGGTCTTGATGCTCTTTGATTCAACTGATAATTAAATGTTAAACTTTTCAATCATTTCATTTAATAGAATATATACTGAATTTGGTTTGTGATCTAGGTACCTATCAGAGCAATCCTTGGGAAAGAAAAGACAGCCCTAAGGGGCCTTCAATGTCAAGTGGTGAAGCATTTTGGTGCGATTTCTGAGAATGAAGAAATTCTTTCACGCGGTACATGTATAATGAAGAACAGATCTTTTGGTAAATTATGGTTGACTGAAGGAATACTCAAGAAACAAATTTAGCCTGTTTGATGGGGATTAAAATCAAATTTTTGGTAGATTTTGATAAAAGTTGATGAAATGTGTAGTTGGAAAGTTGTGGATCTCATGATATGTGTTGTTAAAATTAATTATTGACCATTTTAATTTTCACCGAACAAGGACTTAGAATTGCGGTTCTTAATGAGATGTGATTATATATAAAAGCTTTTAATGTCTTTGAAATTTTCTTGTTCTCTTCAAGAAACTATCATATTTTTTATGGCTTGTGATGAAAAGCAAGGACATACTTGTAGCAATAGCAAGGTATGCCGGATGATCCATGTTTCGAGTATAATTTAACATGAAGTTCATGATATTTATTAGGCATCTATTAACCATTATTTTCTTCGTTTTCTCCTTGAGAGCATGTGTGATTGCATGAATTATTAATCTCGCCATACTCAAAGAATCATTCTACTCATTATCAATAACTGAAGAATCCACATTTTGTAGCATGGAGAACCCATAGATATTTTTAACAGGCATTCTAAAAAGCGTGAAGCAAGTTTAAGCATAAAAGCATAATTAGACAGCACAAGAAGCACCAAGGTTGGAATCCAAGTGATTTGAGGAGTTTCGAGTGCAGATTTAATGCATTTCTTGATTCACTAGGATCAATTGAACCAATTAATGGTTTATTCAATATACCTTTTAGAGGTGCCATTTAACAGAAAGAAAAAGCTCAAAACGATTTCTTCAAGGCTTGTATTATGTGAAATATACTTCTACAAATCAAGTCTGTCGAGCACGAAAAACCTAATGCCAATTAGATTGTACTCCTTTTTTTATTTCACCTTTTGTGCGTGATGACTTTTCTTAATGGAAGTTTCTCTTCAATTGTCCCAAAAAAAAAAAAAAGGAAGGCCAATTAGGTTTGATAACCAATCGAAAGGCATGAGCATACACACCTAATTTGCAGAAAAAAAATGTCTATAATTGCAATTTCTCTGCTCTGTCAAGAATTTGTGTCAAGAGGGCGACTACATAGAACATGAGAGGGATCTCAAACTGGCACGTAAAAAGAACTTCACACCTTAAGTGGTGCTGCCGCTTCCCTGATTTGCTCAATTGTGAAAATCCCAAAGTAGTCATCGTCTATGACAGCATTTATCACAGCAAAGGCAACATCGTCAACACTAACTGGTGGGGCTAAAAGTAAATCGGAGGCAGGTAGAGAGTTCAAAGGTTTGGTAAAATTTTCTGTAGCAAGCAGAAACTTCTCAAGCGGTTCCCCTATCAAATCCAGAGGGATCTCAAATCCATCAACTTTCCTCTTCCCATATATAAACCCTGGTCTGAAAACGACACCTGTTGAAGTTGAAACATGAAAGCCATGAATATCAGAAAGATACACGAACTAAAGGACTCTTTCACTATGTCTTTTGAGTGCATTGCAAACAGATTTTGCAGCTTAACAAGTGATTAACCACAATTATTAAATCATGCGAGATTATGTTCTTTGTAGAGTGGCATTTCCCAGTCTCTCCATACTCATTTGACCCAGAAATTCTCTATTTGCATTTCCACATTTTTTAATCCAGCAAATTATATGACAACGATTTGAACATTTAAATATAGAATGCTATACTTAGATTTATCTCTAGTATGAATTCTACACATAGATCTATAGTATGCTATACTAGCATGATTTTGTGAGAAATGATTTGATCATGAGTTTTGTGACAAGAATGAGCATGGGATGATGATTTTCTAGTACGAGGATGATGGGTATGAAAGCTCCAGAATTTTCATGATATTATGCATGAGCATGCATAGTCTTTACTTGTAAAGCCTTTACCTCATTTAGTTCTAGAACAATAGGTTTGTTTTGCACGTGGGACCACAGCTTATGAGGAACCTGGAATGCAGTGTACATGGATGATCAATAGTGGACATTCCTACTGGGGTTATGGTTTCATGATGTATAGTCAGTACATTTTATGTTATGCAAGTGTTTCTATACTCTCTCACAGAGGGAGGGAGGGAGGGAGAGACTCAGCTAGTTTTTCATTTCAATTTTTGTACTTAATGACACAAACAGAGACAAAAATTGGGAAACCTTACTCCAATCCTCTAATGGTTGTTGGTAATATTTTTTATTATTTTAAACACTCGTAGCATAGCAATATTGATCCAAAGCTACGCATTTATCCATATCAGTTGCACATCTGAACTGAATGGGTTTATTAACAGACAAATCATAAAACAGTTATGGTGTGATAGTCCAATTTGGGGATGTACATTAGAGGGATTAGATTCTAAGGACATTTTCAATCCAGATTGAAGAATGGGAATTATATGCAAATTTAATTGAACTGTGGATGAGAGTTTATGATGTGACTTTGGATGGATCTACTCAAGTAAAATATTAACATTGATTTAAGAAAGAAAATGGTGACATTCCAACCAGTCAACAAAGAGCCATTCACATTCGTGGAGTCGTTCAAGGCTCGTGATTTCCAATGAGAAAGCTAGAAGGCTACTGCACATAGGATGCATTGTGTATTTGGTCAATGCCATTGAGATTGAACATAAATTGGCAACCATAATGCTATGGTGGTTCATCTTTTTCTAGAGATACTTCCTGAGGATGTACAAGGATTCCCACCAGATAGGGACCTTGCATATTCTAAAAGGAAAAATGAAAATTTTGGTGGGGAAGAGTGGTATTCTTGATAAAAGGGTTAGATGTTATTTTGATGAGGTTGTGTATGAAATCGAGATTCTAATTGGAATACCTCATAATTTGGATTGTTAAATGACATGGTTATTGTCTTGAACCTGTTAATTAAGGGGTTACAAAGTTATGATGCAATTTAGTATGCATTAAGATGATAAAACCACATAAATTAGCCCCTGCTTGTGCTTGTCAAATCCATGTATCAATTACCCTGGTCTGTTATATAACCGCTTAAGTTCTTTAAGCACAAGTATCGATACCAATGCACGAGTATTGATACCCAGGGCATGGGTATCAATACCTATATCAACAAAATATCTAGGTGTCGGCACCAAAACATTTTACATCCCCAAAGTATTGGTTTCAGCCTGATAATTTGGGTATCAGTTGTTCAATTGTTCTCATTTATGAAATATAAGGTCATTAAACTAGTGTTTAATGTATGAGGATCATTTCATGAGGGCAATGTCATATGTGTAATACTTTGAGGACTATCAAGTTACATCAACGAGATACGTCAGTGTGAAGCTAGAGATATGTAGGTGTGACATGTCAGGGTATATTTTGAGTTCAGGGACTATATTTTGAACAATGTTTTGAGCTGTGTATTGTGTAAAAAACTTGCGGCAATGTATATTATCTCTCTTTTGTGCTAATGTAATTTCATGTTCACTAGTTGTTTTCGTTACTTGTTCTAACTCGTCTGGAGTTATGAGTAGCACTTGTCCTCTTTTCATCAACAATAAAACTTTGTAATCATTGATCATTGTATAGTTATGTTTTATGACTTTCTTGGAGTTGTAAATGTCTAACTCAATACCCACGAGGAAAATAATTTAGTTATCCTGAATTATTTCCCTCAAGTTTTCTGTAGTGGACTCCCATCCTCTTCCTCTCACTTCTAAAAATTGATAACAGGCTCATCTCTCTTCCTCGCTATGAGATACTTGTTCCCCTCTTACTCTCGATATACGAACCTCACAAAATCAACTGCAATTATAATAAACCACTTTCTGTACCCACTAATAGTTTACCTTCCAGCATGTTATCAACGGATTTTTGTAGAATTGAAAGTAAACACTAGAAAAATAATAATGCACCTGACATTGGATATTTGGATAGAACCTCAGATTCCGCTTTCCTCTTTCCGGTGAAGTAACCCGATGTAAGTAGAAAAGATGGTAGGTTATAATCATGAACTGATATCAATATAAATTTTGGAATGCCTGCAGAGAAATGAAAAAGAAATACATGATACAAGTCATGCCAAATGATGCAATCAGACATTTCTATCCAGTAAACTGTAATTAATGCAAAGTAAAATTGAATAAAATTTTTGGACAGGCAACACAAATAGAAATCCATTCCAAATAGGCACTCCTAAGTTTATAACGGACAATGTCTCACCAAATTCTTTAGCAGCATTTACTGCCACAACATTAGCCTCGCCATTAATCCTTTGCATCTGTTCCTCACTGCCAAAACCTCCAAGTGTTGAAACAACTGCAGTAGCCCCGTTAAGCACTTCCTCCCAGTTTGCATAGAAAACATCTCCTGCAAGGTCCAAGGATTAATCAAACAATATCTGTGCAAGGTAAACATCCACAATGAGTTAAATACAGAAAACTGAACCAATTCATCATAATTTTTAAGTTGGTTATTTCTTTGTCCCGAAATTCTATGCTCTAGAAATCCAAAGCTAAAAAGTGTAGCATGTCAATTAATAAGTGATTCTTTCAGGTGTCAATGATAGTCTCCGTTACCAACTTCAATTCTGATTTTGCAATAGCACAGCATAATTAAGAATTCCTATTATAAAGAAAATCATACTGTAATAGTACCAGTAGTGAATTTAACACATCTAGCATAGGAAAGTGTTTTTTTAATTGTAATTCACCTGAGATCAGAAGTGAAACAGGTTAGTTATTTTTCTCTCTTTAGGCTATCTTCGCATGTTTTGGTTGATGATTCATTTGATGATAGATTAAGATTCATTTTTCTTAAGACTAAAGGGCCTATATCCGGGCTGTGAGCATCTCTTTTGATATTAACTAATATTTGATTTGAGGATTAGACAATTATGACTGCTTCTTCTCTTTGTTTCCTCTCTATTCTCTAATCTTTGTTTATAATGCTTTTTTTTCTCCCAATTTAAAACATAGGAAGCCTGGAGAACCAGTTGGATTTTTTGCTTGAAGCATACAGTATTTGACTCGTGGCCTCCTTGCTGTATTACCTTTTTGACCAATGCCCAGTCAATCATAAATTATTTCCATCAAGCTCAGATCTTAATTCCAACTCATACGCTTGTATTTAAAAGCCTCCCAAAATTGTCATAACGTTCATAATATATACTCAAAGAAGGCCAGAACGTTTTAGTATGAGCTCATGCAAGGCCTTCTCAACATGTATCTAGCTGACCAGAAACCTTTTTTCATCTGTTCGAGACAAAGATCTAAAAAGAATTCTTCCAGCTAATATCAACAGGGAAGAATAATCTGATCACTGAGGATGTTGATTCCAATCTTTCTGTTGGCAGAACTTGACTCTTCCCAGGAATCTGGTGGAAATATGAAAAAGATGGAATTGGTCACTAAAATTTTTTAGTTTTTGGTGATTTTATTATATAACATCTAATTTACTTTTTTTTGGGTTTAGGAATTCTGGACACCTTGCTTCTCCATGCCTTGGGGTAAAAAAGAACCTGTCTATCCTAAATCCACCAGCACTCTGATGCATACATGGGGAATATCAATTGAGTCATGTGGTGATCTTCTAAAGAAAGAATGACAATCTAATTAAAAAGGTGAAACATTATTGGAAAAGAAGACAGGCTATGTACAAATCCACTGGTATAAACAAACATCCTCAGTGTCACTTCAAATAAATCAACTGATTCCACATTTCAATCATTCAATATATACCCGCGTTTGTTTCTCTTAGAACACTTACAAAGTTAACTAAAACTATTTTTTGATAGAATCTCGAGTTTTCAGTAAATCATAAAGTTGCTAGATAATCAAGAGTATTTGGCATCAGATATACTGATTTATTCAGCTACTATCAGTCATACATGTATGAATAATAATTGGTTTTGAACAATGAGTTAGATGCAAAGAAATGGATGCTTATTGACAAATTTTTAGTGTATTTTAAGTAGTGAGAGACTGAGAGTTACCGTAAACAGAAAAAAAGAGAGAGAGAAAAATTCTGCTTCCTATGGTCTATAAATAACTCAAATGGTCTGTTGGCTAGATGGTTTCAACGTACTTGACAATATTAAGAAAGAGAAAAAAAGCTGGAATATTGTCTACCGTCCAATCCTATTCATACCAACATGCCAAAATAGTTTCTTTAAAGATATATCACTGTAAACCTATTTAAGGTAGAAATAGAGAAATGAACCTGCCTGTCACCCAAATGACCTGATCTACCCATGAACCTGTGTATGAAGGACGCCCTGACCTATAAACATTCATTAGAACTTAGAATCAACAACTTCATACAATGAGAGAGAAGGCAGGAATTAGAAGTATGCGACAATGAATCAATTACCAGAACTCCTTTAAAAAAATAATTTAGCCTGATAACAAAATTAAGACTTTACTGATATAAGAAATTGAAATCAAGTGGTCAGGTTCTTCAAGAGATGCTTGCACCTGCTAAGACTAATGACCTCAATACCCTTTGATACGGCAGCCTTGCATATTGCAGAACCGACAAAACCGCTGCCTCCTAATACTACAATCTGACAATGGATATGTGTAAGTGACATCTACTTTCCAAAGCTACCAGAGTTGCATCTTAAATATAAAAGAACACAAAATCGAAATATATCTCCGGGTCATACTCGCTCAGTCTTAACATCAGCCACCACATCAATGGTCCCAACATTGACATCCTTTTTTATGCCAGCTTCTGCATAACTGCATTTAACACCAGCCATGCACGAGCTACAAGATGGAAAAGACATGAAGTCACGACAAAATCATTGTCAACAATCAAATGCTAGATGATGACATGGCACAATTACACCTGTTCGCTCAGTTATGCTCTTAAAAGTTGTAGGTACAATAAAATTTTAAGTAGATCAAAAGGATTTCATACAAGTTAAAGACTTATTTCTGATTAACTCGGGATGGGCTACATGAATCCCTTTTTCCTGATAAGGAGCACAAACAGTTCAAGGAGGAGCATATTAACTGTTAGACTCTGATTTCATTTATTTTCTAATTCTTCTTACGCAAATGCATTTTTCTACCATCTCCAGTTGCTATCTACCAGGATAGGCGATAAGTTGTTACAAAGCAAAATGTGATTCCACAAGTATAAAATTCCATTATGTAAGCTCTTCCACAAGGGTTTAACTTTTGAAGGGAAGTGAAGGCACCTCTGGCATTACAATGCAACTAGTATGTCAACATAAGACGAACCTCAATAATAATCAAGCAAAAAGACCAACTACATAGATATTCTAACTCCCCTCCCTTGTAATCAAGAGCATAAATTTCCCCAAAACCAATATCCATAATATATAAGTGGGACAGATAAATGTGTAAACTTATTTCAAAACTGGGAAAATCATAGAGGTTTCAGAAATGGATATTATCCTTTATACATCAGAAGAAAGCTAAATTTTCCTATGTTAAATCCCTTATCTTTCTTGTTTCCAACTTCCAAAACAAAGAACGAAAGCAAGCGTATAAACAGACATTTCTTTGGCACGGCCCTTTCTGTTCTATCATTTACCTCGAAGAAATGATCAAGTTTAAACATGAAATCAAACACGTACAATAGAGAAAATGAATAGCTAACCGAGTGTGAAACAGTTGAGGAAAATTCGAAGCACGAAATGGAGAAAACGACACTCTGCCGCTTTGTGATGGGACAGTGGACAGAGCAGCCACACAAGAGAGTGACGTCATCTCTCTCTCTCCCCCTCCCCCTGATACTGATCTTACTGTGTCAAATCGGAAACCTGAAGATGACCCAGTTGTGTGAGCGTGCAATGGGAAAGGGATGGGAGCAATTACCAGATTTCTGGCAGAAATCCCATAAGCGTGTTGGTACGTAACCAAGAACTGATTTTTTCTTGAACTTCCAGTTTTTTTTTTTCTGGACGAAAATAATAATGAAGAATTTATTTTCAAACCTTTCTTACGTTCTATTTTCTATTTTCGAAAACGAATTTTTGAAAACAAATAAAAAATTTTAAAAAAAAATCCAAAACGACAAATTTATCGTTTTAGGTGTGTTCAGTTATAAAATTTATTCTTATTGCCTCTTCAGATCAAAATTACTTATTAAGTCTTTATATTCAAACTTGTCTAATAAATCTTTTCAATAAATAATATAAGGTGCGTTTGATTGCGAGTATTGAAAGAAAATAAATTATACGCAATTCAATAGCCTAAAATTTATTTGTATGTAAATCATTAATTAAATGTGTTTGATTTATTTAATTCTCAACCTAGAAAATATTGTATTTATCCATTTTTTTTATTGGTGAGTAGATAAGAGATAGTAGATAGATAAGAAAGAGAAGGAGAGACTGATTTTTTTTGGAAAATAAAATCTTACTACCCCTAAAGAAAACATTTTCCTTGATTTTGAGAAAAAAAAATGATCTGACCAAAAATAGGAAAATGTTTTTCATGAAAAAAATGTCAGTTGAATAATACAAAAACAAGAATTTGAGTGGAAAAAAACACATTTTTCATGAAAAATATTGACAATTAAATGCACTATAATATTTTCATTATTTGTTGTGACATTATTCTTATATGACAACAAGGTCACTGTAGTGCACAAGAACTCTGATGAGAATGCATTTTCACCTAGAAGTATATCATTTTATCTACATGAGATTAAATCAATCACCCCTTTTCATCTAGAGTGACACCCTTCTCATTGGGGCGAGACACCCCTTTTTGGAGAGGCTCACTTTCTTTAGGGAGCCCACTATGAGAGAAGTGTTAATGTAAAATTAATACTAATCATGTAGAGCCCTATGTCAAATCATCAAAAGTGAATATTTGGAAGTCAATAGATGCTCTAGCATTTTACCACATATTTTTTTATGTTCGCATCTTTTATAAAAATATAGGAATGTCATATAAGAGGAAATATTTAATTCTACTTTAGAGAAGTTATTAAATAAATTAGGAACAATAATAAGAAAGAATAAATAAGTATTATCATTATAGTAAATTGTATTAAAATGAATTAGTAATGGAGATTCAAAATCTTAGTGCATGTTTAGGGCGTGTTCGGTAGAGATTAGAGATTAAAATCGGATAAAAATTGAAAAATTAGTCGTTATTGTTGACTTTTATTAGACGAGTGAGACCAACTAACGGATATATTTTCAATTTTAATTAAATTTTAAGCACGACCGAACACGCTCTTAAATCAATCTTATAGAATCATTCTTAACTGCTCACTAGTTAGTAAATTAGATAATTAGTCATAGAAATTCGTAATCAAAACTTGATTATTTGAATAGAGTTAATATTAATAATAATAAATTAAATACATGATCTTCGTGGGACAATGTCTTATTATTCATTACATTACTTATCTATCCTATAGTACACTTGAGGAATTTCATTGATCATCCTACAACATCATACGAGGCATCTAAGAGTAAGATGCATGTATATTATCACGTAGGAGGTCAATCGACCACTCTACCATCGAGCTTATCGAATAACTCTCAAACCTGATCGACCAAGTAGTAGCCCATGCCTTGTTCATTGTCTCTAAAGCTCCATGTGCTAATTTAAGCATAACGATAAGATATGTCCCAGTTGTTGTGATTTTTAGGATGAAGGTGCTCATCTTCCAAAACTCTTAAGATGAAAGACACGTGAACACCAACCATCATCCAATAAATACTACACAAAGTATCACGTAGGTCTAATTCACTTTTTATGTATCATTTACTTACACGCATCTCCATTCTCTACATGTATCATCTTCTTTGTTTGAGGCTTACCATGAAGGTAAAAAGACGGAGAAAGTCGCAACCTCATTCTTGCTAATATCTCGGCTTTAGAAGTGGGTTTCAGTTACCATGCTTCTCTATTGAATTCGAGTAGTTATGTCAAATTAGTTTCATTGGTGACATCCGTGGAAACTTGTGGTATAAAATTACGGTGAGACCATGGTCTAGGAATGGAAGTTTAAGGCTTTGCAAACTCAGATGGCAGCAATGATGGCTTTGCATCAGAATTAGATCTAAAGATCACAGGGGGCATCACCACGAACCCTATAAGTTGCTTTGACGTTGCACAAATTCAAAAACTAAAAATTATGAGAAACTAAAAAATGCTCGTCGGAATGATAACCCAAAAGATAAGGGACAAATGAATTGTTAAGAAAATGTGATAGATATATAGATGCAAAAAGGTGTTTCAAGTAATTAAGAGGACATAGAATGCCAAAATCCTATAAATGAGAGTCTCACAATGAGTAAAGATCAAGAAATGATATAGAAAACCAAAGATCAACCACTATGATGGAAGTCAATCGATAGGACAGAAAAATGATGATTCACCCATGCCAAAGGGCTTTCTGTATGATGGGTGGTATATCATGTAGGGTGCGAGGCCTTGAATGGCAGAAGTGCTAGTGCATAGGCAAGGATGAGACACTGCATAGCAAAGTCGCTGATGCATAAACAAGGATAATGCTTTGCATGACGAAAGCGCTGATGCATAGGAGAGGATGAGGCCTTGCACAACAGTAACATTGATGCATAGGAGAGGATGAGGCTTTGCACGACAGAGATGTTGATGCATAGGCAAAGATGAGGCGATGCATGATGGAAACCTTAATATATAGGCACTGATGCATAGGTAAGGATGAGGTATTGCATGGCTGAAATGTTGATACAGAGGCAAGGATGATTGCATGGTGGAAGTGCTGTGTATAGGTAAGGGTGAGCTCTTGCATGGCAGAAGTGTTTATGCATAGGCAAGGATGATGCCTTATATAGTGTAAAAGCTAATGCATAAACAAGGATGAGGCCTTGTATGGTGGAAGAGCTAATGCATAAGCAAGAATGGAGGCCTTCCATGATGTAAGCGTTGATGCATATACGAGGATGAGGCCTTACATGGTAGAAGTATTGTTGCATAGGCTAGGATGAGGTCTTGCATGACGGAAGAGCTGATGCATAGACAAGGATGAGGCCTTGCATGACAGAGGCGTTGATGTATAGGCTAGGATGTGGCTTTGCATGGTCAGGACGCTAATGCATAGGCAATGATCTCTACACTTGGAAAAACCATAGTTGTAGCTTTGGAGTCTCATGCTCCAGGGATGAAGCCTCTGAAAGTAGATTAAACATTTGTGTAGAGGTAAAGTCCCAAGTTTCGAGGATGAGACCTCTTAATTCATAAAAAAATGACCCCTTCTTCATGTGTTATCCCTTCTTTAAAGGTTGTTCAATTCATGACCTCTTTTTCATAGGTATCCCCTTCTTTAGGGATTGTTGTTGTCATGACCTCTTCTCTGGAAGCTTCTTTATTTCAGGGTCTCCCATTCTTTAGAGGCTTTGACCATCTTGATGTCTTTCTCTTGTTCTTGCATCTCCACTTTTTTGGGACATCGACCATCTTCGTATCAGCTATCATCGTGTTTTCCTGACATAGTATATGGGCAGTTGGTGATTGCCTTCCTCTTTTATGAGGATCAAGCTGACAGCCACTTTAAATACGACCATATACAATAATAGGGGCTCATTATCTTCATCAAGCTCATAGAACCTGCATGGCCTTCCTTCATCTTTAGCTTGGTAGTGAGGTGGTTGGAAGTCCACAATTTGCTCCCTCGTGGCCTCAACTGAATTCCTATCTCACCTATTCCTAGGCTAAAGATCACTGTGGCCTATTCCCTCGCATTTGCTCATGGGGCATTTATATGGGGATGGCTATTGAGGCTTATTTCTTCGAGGCTTATCCTATAGAAGACGTTGGCGAATCTTTGAGGTTTTCGCTCTTGTTCATAAACTGAAATGAAATTGTCTTTTCCATTGAACGGGCCATTCGAAGGTCGGCTAGATTCATAGTTTGTAGATACATCTAGCCTTCATTTATTTCAACAGAGCTTAAACATCTCTTGTGCCAATGAGATTGGGACCTTTCACTTTATACTTCATCCTCTTCTTGCTAGCGAAAGAGGTCTAGTTGAGGCACATTATTGGCCATTTGATAACCTACTTGTCCTTGCATTTGTAGGAGGAGTTGTTGCATTATGGCGGTCTACTCTGTAATATTCCTCATGTTGGTGGTCATTTCTACTACTACTCTTGTAAGTCAAGCTGCGACCTTATCGCCATTGCAATGAAGAGGTCGATGGTAGGTGACATAGGTCGGAATGGCCTTTTCTTCAATGAACTCCCTAGCTTACCTTCAATTTCTTTCTTCTTCACTTATATTCATGGTGGATGGACGCCTCTTTTATTCAACGAGGGAGTCTTCTAGAATAGGTTTCGATCAACTAAAGCTTGTCCTTTCTCAAGAAGAAGCTCAAATCACCCAAAAAAGTGAATAACACTTGGAACTTTTCTTCCTTTGAAGCTTCCACTTGTTCTTTGTTCAAAAACAAAACATTTTACAAAGGGAAAGTTGGAATTTTTTCTATGGAGTTTTCTCACAGTTAATAGTGTGGTTTTTCACAAACAATGGCAATATGTTGACCTCGGTTCCAATTAAAAAATCTGGTTTAAAAGTTTTATGTTAAAAAATCAGGCAATGATTCAATTTTTTAATAAATAATAATATTATAAAATTAAATTAATATACATACCCCCATCCCATCCCATCCCACCTCACCTGATATCACTGCCAAACCCTAAATCTTTTCCTCATTCTTCTATTTTCCTTCTCTCTTCTCTCTCCAACATCAATTCTTTCTCTCTCTAACGTAACGGCGAGTGTCATTGAGCGCGACGTGGTGATGCTCGTCTATGGTGTTGCATGCAGCAGTTATGACATTTTAGGGTGATTTTGGATATGATCAGATCTGTTGTTTAACTGGAGTTTTGGGGTGATTTTTATTTGTGGTTGGTGTTTTGAAAATGGTAGTGATGATGAGGTGGTAGTTGTGGTGCTGATGACGGTGTATGTGGTGGTGGCAATGGTCACAAATGGTAGTGGTATATGTGGTGGTGTTGACAGTGGTAGCGTGACGTTTGGTTGGTGCCGATGGCGAATTGGGGGATAGGTTGGGTTGTGATGGGTGAGATGAAATGAGATAAATAGTGTTTATGATCAATTATTTGGGTGATTGTGATAGTAAATTGGTTAATTTGTGATCGATAAAATAAATAATTTGTGACCAATAAATAATATGTGACTTAAAAAAAAAAAAGAACACGACTAAATTTGTAATTGTGGGTGAGATGAGATGAGATAAAGAGTGTTTATGATCAATTATTTGGGTGATTGTGATAGTAAATTGGTTAATTTGTGATTAATAAAATAAATAATTTGTGACCAATAAATAATATGTGACTTAAAAAAAAAGAACGCGACTAAATTTGTAATCGTGAATCATAATTTTTAAGTTGCAACCAATTAATTTAATAATTTATAACCAGAAATGAGTTGTGATCTATAAAATTTGTGATCGTTAAATAAATTGTGACCTATAAAATTTGTAATTTGTGATCGAGAAATAATGGGGGACCAATTACTTTAATGATTTTTGGCCAATGAATATGGTGTGACTTATCCTTCTTGTCAAAACCTTGCAATTCCCATTCACTCAAAAGTAATTACTTTTGGCGTCTGTTGATTTTTTGGTCCAATCATGTGGGATCACGATGTTTATTTCGGTTTGACTTAATTTTTAAAAAGTTAAAAAGAGCTTTTAAGATTCATTTGATTAATTTTATGAAAATATTTATTTTAATTAGAAAAGTTTTTAAAAGAAGTTGATCTAATGCATCTTCCTTTAAAACACTTTCGGAATAGGAAACTCTTTTAAAAATTAATTTTTAAATAAAAATAAAGACAATTTCCTCTAAAAACTCTTCTATAAAAAGTAAAAGTAAAAGCAAAAATTATGCCAAATGAATTGTTAATGGCTTAGGGTCTTGCAAGAATTCATCCCATATATTTATCTTATGCGATAGTAAAGCCACTTAACTACGAATATATATATTAAAGTATATAATAAAATTCTAGACATATAAATCTAAAACAAGACCGTGTGAAGAAATTAATCAAGAGTTGGAAAAATTCTCACATACTTGAAGTCTAGTGAGAACCTAGATAATCTGTTACTACGCATGCCCAAGAGAATTAGTAAGTTAAATCTTACCTAACTATATAAAATTTGAATATTTAGGTTAAAATTGGATGAAAAAGTTGGATAATTTCAGCACCATATAAAAAATTGTCCTATCTTAGATGATTAATATTAGTTGTTACAGTCGGACGGTCGAGGTTTTTAAATTATTAATGAGGTTCAATATGTGGTACAAAAGTACCAAAAATTTAACAATAATACTTGAAGTACTTCACCAATATGAACTTCGAGGTGGTGTAGCCCTAATTGAGAGTCGAAGTTTCTCTATTAAAAGTTTATAAATTAGGATAAGGGTAAGGCTATAAAATGCACTAAACGAGAATGTTGTGAAACAAGTAAAAAATGGGTATGTGTGTGTGGTATCTCTGGTCAAAAGAAATAATTAGATTAAAGCTTTGAAGATACATGAAAGCTGTGAACACTGATTATATTGTGAAATGCTTTATCTGAACAAAGTGAGTTACTGTTAAATTTTGAAAGAAGTTTAATGTTTATTTACTAAATAATTGAAAATAAGTTTG